TATTGATAACCTTGCCTTGACACTTGTTAGCATTATCAACAAACAAATAACGTATTATGAAAATTCATATTTTATTCACCATAAACTTCATGTGAAATTTCATTCACTGATGAGTCAAATGTTCATTTGTTAACACAAGTTAATACCAGGAATTACATTTTAGCTTTGCTTTGAAGCATTTACAATGGTTAGCTGACGTTTCTTCTGATCATAGGTATACTTCGTAAAGCCTTGTAACCCATCCTAGCAGTGGACAGGCGGTAGAGGGGATCCCAGGAACATCCATGGTGTTATCATTCATCGAGATTTAGACACTGACTAGTACAAGATAGCAGTGAAGGCCAGGATATTGAGGGGTCACTATTCCAGGAATCAATTTGTCTTCTGCCCACCACGATTGTTAACAGAGACCTGCGTCAACCAGAAGAAATCAGTGTCACTCCGTGCAGCTGTCATTGCACAGTCTGTTTGTGATGGACAAGGCCTTATGAAGTGTAACTGCGGTCAGAAGAAATATCAGACCAACTGGTGTAAATGTTACAAAATAAAGCTAAAATAAATTTTCATAATATCTTATTTATTTGTTGATAATGCTAAAAAGTGTCAAGGCTAGATGATCAATAGGATGAATGATCACTTTCTTGCAAAATCCCTGACTCCTAATTTCAATGATTTCATAGTTACACAATTTTACTGAAAATTTAAGGAATTTTGCAAAATTTCTGGTTTCACAACTTTACTAAAACTTATACATTGCGTTGCAGGAGTTTTAGTACAAACATGGACTTATAATGGTAAAATGGTTATTCCCAAGTACCCTGGTATAATGAGGCTGGATGGATATATACATTATCTTAAATGTGGACACAATATGTTTGCCTTTTGACAATAATTTGCTTAAATAATTTTTATTATGAATACTTGGAGAGTATAGCCGACAAATGGGTTGATGTGATAGAGTAATTCATGAAGTTTGAATGGAGGCAGTTTGAATGTTGATTAGTTTATCGGTGGCCGGGCCTTCAGCCTCTCAGCCCCTAGGCTCTGGAACTCTATCCCCCAGTGCCTTCGCTGTTTGGTGTTGTAACAATCTCATAATTCAATGTAATTCTATGCATATTCTCTTTCAAACAAACTTCATGAATTACTCTATCACATCAACCCATTTGTCGGCTATACTCTCCAAGTATTCATAATAAAAATTATTCCCCCTTCCCTTCCAAACAAAAAGAAAACAATTGTAGTTGTGGTACAAAAGGCCAACATTGTAGAAATAATACACATTTGTTCATCTACCTTAGATATTAATGGAATGGTTTGTTTTATGATAACTTTTATAGATTTATATATTGACCAACTCGCTGTTCAGCTGAAGACTAGGAATAGAAAGAGTAAATAGAGGTCATGTACATTCAGTGGAGAAATCCTTCATTCTAATTATTTGATACTGTATTACTTGTCAGTCCTGTAGGTCAGCACTTTCTGTGACTGCAACAGAAGGATTTTTGTCACGTGTTTAATGTGCAACCCTGCTACACTGTATTTTAATTGCATTTTCACATGGCATAGCTAAGGATTGAGCTATTTTTAAACCAATTCCTCGCCTTTAGGATTATTTACCTCATCAATGGTTTAGATCCTATTTCAACATTCTCAAATTGCAGAGAGAAATCTTCTATTTGTTACTAACATTTTTCACTTGTTCTCTTCTTCTATTCGGAAATGTGAAAGTTGGGCAGAAATCATGTACTGATAGTTTTATTTCTAAAATAAAACAAGTTAAGTCTGTACTCATGTCCACATACAGAATGTGAGCTGATCCCAAGAATATGTAAGGGAACCAGTAAATCCTGTGCAGCATTTTAAGATGTCTTACCAACATGAAAGTGTTGCATCAAATGTAAAGATTATTATTTAATATATATTCCCATTGTTTGATAAAACAATGCAAACTGCATTGAATTGTACCTGTTTATTCAAAGTTTTTTTTAACATAAATAATATCCCTGCCACTGTTGTTGGACACTCGTGATTCCTTGACAGCTTTTGACGCCATTAATTACTCCTTGCTTCTTCACCTCCCTGATCCACTTCAGTGGTAATGCATGTTCATGATCCCTCTTTCCATGTCCCTTCAATTGCACCTGCTCCTGCACGAGCAAATGCGGTGTTCTTCGGGGCTCTATTCTTGATGCTTTTAGTCGAAATGTGGAACCCATCATCTTTGTCTGCTAACGCCCACAAACTACAAAGTCACTACACTTTACAGTATATTCTGTGAAGCGCTTTGAGATGCCTCAAAGACGTGATGAGGCGCTATATCAAATGCAAGAATTATTATTATTATTTGGATGTTTGCAGTGCAAAAAAATCATTTGCCTGCATCGAGTGGCTTACTCCTTGAAACTGAGATGGTGATTATTTTTTCCTGCAGCTGAATTATTGATGGACCTTTTTGTTTTCCTCCTAGTCGTGGAAAGTTTTGCTTCATAAAAGTAATTGTTTTGACAAAGGTTGCTGTGTGATTTTTATTTGCTCTTTCTCTCTATAAAACCAGTAAATTGTCTACTATAAAAGGTCTGCTGCAGGTAAATTATAGCAATAATCCCCGAGGTGCTCATGTGACAGATTGAACACTTATGGGACTTTTTGCTGTAAAATCGGTTAAAGTATGACGAATCTAGGTTCCCTTCATTTGTATTGACCCTCCAGGGATGCTGCAAGCTTCTCTTTCCTGACATGTGTATAATTCCTTGGTGCGTTGGAATAATANTTTTTTTGTTTGCTTGAAATTTCTGTCATTCTTGGAGTAGTTGCACAGCTCTTGCCTGAACTCAGAAATTCAATGGCAATCTCAATCAATTGTTGTGCAATCTGAATACAATAAATCTGATTTCTGACCAATTTGAAAAGGTGCTACATTAAAAATATAATTATATTTGGACACATCAATGTCAACGAGGAGTCGGGGGGAGGAACGGGCGAAGAGGACGAAGAACGAGCAGTCATTATTTTTCCAATTACATTCTTTAGTTTTGTATGAGTAATAGTTAAGTCTTGCTGTTGATAGACTATTTTTCATGTTAACTGCAATTCATACAAAACAAGTATATAATCAAATATTTTTTAGTCTATGAAATATCACCAACAGGATTTGTGAATCAGAAGTGGGGTGGATATGTAACAAGACTCTTGTTAGTACGGATCACAGAAGTCAATTGCAGCTTCTAGCCTTCTCTGTTCTTATTTGTTCTCCCACTCACCCGTCCTCTCCTATTCTCTCATAGCAAGCAGGATCTCCTTGTAACTGAACTGGCTCCAAGGTGACATGTTTGGCAACAGAATGTCAGAATGGAGCCAGCCCTCTGTGACGGTCTCAGTTGTCCAATTTCTGAGCCAGGCAATTCCGTGGTACCCCAGGGCACTGCTGATGACGGGGGAAAAAGTCAGGCTGGTTCATCAGCAGGATCTGGAAGGGCAGATCAGTCACTGGGGCAGGGATTCTTCTCAGTCAGATCCTGTTAACCCTGGAAGCTAAAGCCTTAACCGTAAGGTGGTCCTAGCTGGACAAGCAGCAGGAAAGCTCGCCACACAGTGATATCAATGGCAAGCTATGCAGTTTTAGCTGGTTAGATGCACACTCTGGAGACCCCAAGCTTAGGCTCTTGCTAACCTATTCCTACTACTTTTTTGGAATTAGGTAAGCAGGATGCATCCCTCCAGGCAGAGAGTCCACATTCCATTGCAATAAATATCACTGGAATTTCCTTTTTTTTGGTCAGCTGGATGTCTGACACTCGGAAACCCATCATCATGCAAAAGATTATCTAAACCAAGCTGAGATTTACATGCATCCCACCTACACATGGAAATCTCAGAGATAGACTGTAGGAATTGAATGCGTACGCTATTCTTGGAGCGATGCATCCTGCTTACCTAATTCCAAAGAGTATTAGGCACAGGTTGGCAAGAGTCAAGGCTTGGGAATTTCCATGTGTAGTTTAGTTGCTTGGAACTCTGGTTGGGGTACTCTTAAGCATGGTGATGGGTTTTCTCATGTGTTGATTACCTGGATGATCAAATAAAGTCACTGAAACTTAAAAATAGATTGAAAGTAGATTCAGTTGAACTAGCATTCCTGTGAATCAGCAACACAGATTTATTTAAGAAACATGTTAAATATCTCAAATTTGACCCATATCTTACGACTAATTGATATTGAAGCCAAATCCATAACAGTATTTAGAAGGGAATTGGTTAAATACTTGAAGAAAAAATAACATTAGAGGGTATGACAAAAGAGCAAGGCAATGAGACTAGATAGATAGATGCAATGGAAGAGGTCGCAACAGTACAGTCATGAAGAATGGGCTGGCCTTGTGCTGTAAATATTCTATGATTAAAACTAATAACCTTTTTGGCAGTATAAAAATTTGATTAATGAAAAGCTAATTAACTTTAATATCCTTTGATGTATTACAGTATCTCGTTCTATTTTATGGGATTTTATGGATCCCTTCTACCACATTACAATGGTACTGCACTGCAGCATGACCAACCTTGTCTGTATCACAACAATTTTAATTTATATAGTGCCTCTTTTACATTTATACAGCACACTGTACTGTAGAAGAATCTTGTGTTGGTTTATCACAGAAACTGCTGAAATGAATTCAGAGCAGTATATTGTTCAGTCCATTTTACCCGCCTAATTTGAAGGGGGAGCCAGGAAATTTGGAAGGAATATTACATACTAGTTACTAGATTTGCTACTTTTCTGTTTTTAAAAAAGATGCAGATTTTAAGAGTTTTATGCTGTCAGTGCTGAATTTAATAATGACTTTTTGCTTTTTTTTTGGAGAGCTGTATACTATTAATGCAATCTAAAGCCAATCATGTAAACTTTCATCATTCCACAACTTGTAAAATACTGTCTTATTTAATGTACTTAAAATTCACAGGTTGCTAATTGTTTCTAATACTTTTCTGTTTCATTACAGCAAGATGGAAACCCAGAGAGCATAAGACTAAAAGGTGAGTTGTCATTGCAATTATAATTTCACTGACTTTATAAGGAATTTAAACTCTTTTGACAGCTGGTTGTTTTCTGTTATCGCTGGAGAAATCAATCTTAGTTATATAAAATAAGAGCGAAAGAAGAATTTAGGCAATTTTTTTCACCTAGACAGTTGGTGGGATGTGGAGTGACCTGTCAATTAGAGTGGTAGAGCATGTGGGTTTCAGATGGGAAGTAGACAGATATATGAAGGATAGAGGCTTGAAAGGTATGGGGATATGGCAAAGGGATTTAATAAACACCTTACGATGAGAGCTGGAGCAGACTCGATGAGCTGAATGGGCTCTTCTGCGCTTTAAATTTCTATGATTCTCTGACTTTTTTAAGATAAACTAATCATAATTTTTTTCTGGAGTGTGAAGCAAGTCATTAGACTTCCTTTCTAATATAAATTGAGTAATTCTATTCTAAAGTTGTCCTAGTACTTTTGTAATACATATAAAACTTGTCCTCAAACCCCAAAATGATATTGACTCACACGTAATCAGAGCTGAATGTTTGTGCTGAAACATGTATGGTGATGTAAGTTAAGACATGCTACACACCTACGCCAGACCAGATGGGGTACACATCAAAATCCTCAAGAAAATTGTAACGAACACAATGGGTGATGCTTGATCTGGTTAATATTATTAGTAGGTCGATAAATACTGCAGCTGAGGATAGCAAATGTTTTCCTTATACTCATTTAAAAAAAGAGCGAGATTGAGAGATTGAACCTGAAAATTACAGATGATCTGCAGCAGGGGGAAATGTTTGAAAGAATTATGTGGGATGTTATAAATGCTAATTTAAAGAGCACAGTGCCTGTCTGAGTAGTCAAGATGGATTTCGAAGCAGTAATTGTTGCATCACAAATTGTAATGGAATTCTTTTGGGAACGTAATTAAAATGGAGTGTGTAGCGTATTCAGAGGACATGCATTTTCAGGAGGCTTTTCTTAAGATTTCACATGTGAGACTTTTAACGAAGTTTAAACCTTACTGAATTAAAGAGAGACTATCCTGCTGCTACTTTGACAACCTGCTAAGCAATGGGAGGCATACAAAATTTCTAATTGCTTTGTCAAAACTTTGTCAAAGCTAGTAACTGGTAAGAGCTATCCGAGGCTTGTTCTTAGTTTCTTGCTATTGACATCATGAATCACTTTTTGTGACTTGACATTAACTGATGATGTAAGTCTGAATAATATAATGCAGATGAACAGTGTTCACAAAATCAGAAGATTGGTTTGGATGAAGAAGACCCTTCGACCCATCCAATCTCATCCTTCCAAAATACCCATCCTACTATTCCCCCATCACAGTATCGTGCCGCTTTTTAAATTAGTCCAATGTCCTGGCCTCAACTATATTCTTGGCAACCTGTTCCAGTCGTCAATTACCCCCTTAGTAAAGTAGAACCTCCTGGTATCTGTCCTGAAATTACCCTTTGCAACTAACTCTATGTCCTCTTATTCTACTATCTAAGAAGACCTAGATTACATAAGTAGGTTGGCCAAGTAGCAGTAGAAACATGATTATATATTTATAGTGAAGTAATACATATGGTCACTGGAAAAGTGAAAATATATATAATAAAAAGTTGTCCATTTGCAAATGTGATGAAGGAAGCTTAAAGTTTCAAGTCAATTCAAAGCTAATAAAATGCATACAAGTTCATTTGATCTTAAGATGAAAGTTACTCTGAAGTAGACCAGATGAATGATGAGACTGATTGAATTTCATACTGGATACAGTGTGCTTGCTGCCTCTGCCTTTTATATAAAAAAATGAGTCACAATTGGAACGAATCACTGTCCAAAGATGATTCTGTAATTAATGGCTCTAGGTAATAAGGAGAGGTTTGCTGAACTGAACTTGTCATCATTGGGGAAAAAGAAGATGGGGGAGGGAATGATTTGGTTTTCAAAATACACAAGCAGTGTAAATGATTTATGTGAGCCAGTGATCATAGAGATAGATCTTGAGGGCATAGTTCAACTGAGACTCCAAAAGCAGCAGATATATAGAACAGACTCCCAACATGAGCAGTTCACACTAAGCTGATTGATTTATTCCAAAGAAAATAATATTGACTGCTATAGGAATAGGTATAGATTGAGATGAGCAAATTCTTCACAGGATCCAATGGTTTGTGTTTTGGGGATCTGGGAATGAGAAAATGTTATTTTTTGTGTCCCAAATTGAATAGTGGTGATGTGTGGTTATGGATGAATAAACTGGCAATTTTGCCTGGTACTGTTTGGGGTTCAAGGAGTAACTCAGTAATTTAGTTCAGACAAATTTAGAACACCCCCCAGAAGATGGGAGTGATTGGGATGGAGTTCAGGATCAGCCAGATGGAAGGAATTTAATGAACTGAATTGGCCTTCTCGAGATTCATTTTGAAAGCTATATAATATAATGCAGGTTAAGATTTCAAATCATTGTATGATGTCAGGTAATTGACTCATTTGTATATATTGAATATAGTAAATTGGTTTATTGGGAGATATAAGAAAGATATGTTAAAACAGTGGTATATAAAGCAAGAGGAGTGGTTTCTCTCTTGTCTGAAAATCTACCACCATTGATCTACCACCTTTATAAAGGGTATTTTTTCAATAATTGGAGAATCATCCAAAGATATCTTGTGTAGTTTTCTGTTCCTGAGGGAGCAGTTAATTTGTGTTACATCAAGGTATCATGGGTGATCACCGTATCTAATTATTGTTTATTGTCTGGACCTTCTATTTCTGGTATATAATCAATGAACATCTGATATATGATGCTACAGTGGTGTGCTCTATTTTTCTGTGGTTGCATAGCAGAGAGGCAAGGATCAATATTACTTAAGGTATTCATTTCCAACCATGTGATTTCTTGAAACTGGCATGTTTGGATGAGAATGTCATCAGTACTAAATCTAATGTCTTATTCAGAGTTCTCTCCAGCACAGGACAAAGAGGATCCAGACTGATGGTGTTTAAAGATGGTTCTGACAATAAAGATGGTGGTGAAAGTTTGATCTTGTGTTCTTACGGCATGAACTGAATCACTCAGTAGGATTGTAATTCTCTGACAGACATTGAGGTGGGGATGGTTATTCTTCCATTCTTCCCTCCGCTTGTCTGTTGATTGGGAAGAATGCCTTCCATAGTTTGCCATTGAAAGCACTAACCATATTATTTGTTATACATTGTTTAAAGAGATTACATTAACAGCAGACACTCCATTGGATGTTGCCTGTTAATGCTGTGAATTAGAACCTCGCTGGGTACTGTGATGGATTGTTTTGGACATTGGTTACAAATCATTTATCATCCTCTTTATAAATCAAATGCACACAAAGGACCTGATGAATGATGAATATCCAGTGAGTTGGATGTCATTTTGTTGAATCCTCTGTTTAGTCCTATCCAATGGAGCGTTAACATATATTCAGTTTATAACATAGTTATTAGCAAAGCACAAATCCACTGTTCATTGATAGCAGCAGGGAAAGTTTGTTTTACATTATTTTCTGCAGCATGAAGGAGAAAGAGAATCAACGGAAAGATTTAAATATTTAGCAGGCTCTGCTATCCCCATGCACATAAAAATAGTTCTTGAAAGGATCTTTGCTCTTGAGCTGCATAATGCAGACTAAGGTATATAAAACACCTTTGCTTTTGTTGTTTATTTAATGTTATAAATCTATTTCCTGCACCCAGCGATGGAATATTTGTCCCCTGAAATAATGTAATTTTTAGTATTATTCAAAATGCCAATTTACGTGTCTGTTCTCATGATTACTTGGTTTCAGTCACTTAGAAAAAACAGAATTGTTCAGGGAAGAAATTCCACCTGAGTGTGGACTCAAGATTACTTTCTTAGCTTTTCAGAGCATGAAAAATTTGACAAATTCTTAATACAGTCTTAATTTTAAAGCGTGTAATTCTTTGTTTAAAAAAAATGCCTAAAACAGAGACTGCATTGAATAATTCTGCAAGGTCTGAAATTTTTAGAACAATAATGAAAGTCCACATCCGGGTGGAAATTCTCCCTGTATTCTAAGTGAAGCCGCCTGCTGCAGAATAATACTTCCATTCTTTATGATAATTGTAAAATCAGTGCCTGATTCATATAAAAGTTGTTTTGTTTCTGCCAGTAATTTGAATGAATATTTTATTTCATGTTAATTGTGTATTATATTTACTCTGGTAATCTTCTGATGGAATTAATAATCCTACAAGAAAATGTTTGGTTTGGAAAGAATGATCAACTAATCCTTCGGTTTTATCAGATGTTTAAAGGGCCAGAATCGCTATTAAATCAAGAAAGACAGCCTGAAATCCTTGACAATTTACACCTTGTGTAATATGGACAATTTACATTCAAATATAATATGAACGTCCATATTTGTTTAGGAGAAATTGAATATCGTCAATGAAGATTTTACTGGCACACAGTTAGATGGTTGACTGTTTGCATAACATCATGTAAGACACAGTGAAGTTCCCATGTGTAGGTGGTATGCATACGGGGAATTCAAATTGGTTTGGATTCTCTTAAGTGTGCACATGTGTCAGACACCTGGCAGTCCAAAAAACTAGTGAATTTCAGATGCTTAATCAGCAAGTATAGTACAGTGAGTACAGATTGTAATAATTTTAAACAAAATGCTTGTTGCTGAGGGAAAAAAGCTCTGAGAAAATGTAGGTAACCAGGAAGGGTGATTGAAGCCAGGACATTGAACTCGTTTGAATAATGGATTGTTACTGTGATGATGAGGTGAATGTTCTAGAGGTATGAGATCAGATAGGTCGAGGCTTTTCCATCTGAACTAATCCTGCAGGAGGTAAGGTAGCAGTTCCCAGGACAAGCTATTTGGAATGCACTATCTCCCTTTCCTGCACTTTCCTCTGTTGCAGGAGTTAAAATGTCGGCAGCTAGGACAAGTTGTTGACATGTGCAATCTCCTTTTCCTCCCTTTC